AGAAGATGAGTGCATTATTACGCAGAATCGTGCAATAATCTTCTTTAATTAATAATTAAAAATCTATGCGATTATTTGGAAAATGGTACAGGACTTTTTTGTTCAATTTGACCTAAAGTATAAATACACAACGATAGTCGTCACTACTATAACTTATTTACCATATTCTGCATGATCATTTACAAGTTTTCTGCAATTAATATCTTGATACTTATTGTGAATATCGCAAAACGATATAGGATTTTTATGTTCATCTCGACCTGTTCTACGTTTAAACTGCCCGGAGGAGAGTGTGACACACCCTGTATGTATATATATATATATATATATATATATATATATATATATATATATATATATATATATGTGTGTGTGTGTGTGTGTGTGTGTCTGCGTGGGTGCGTGCGTGCGTGTGTGTGTATATGTATCAAGTGTGTGTATGTACCAGGCAAATATCTCGAAAAATATGGAAGATACGGAAAAATATTTCAAACAAAAGTTGTATGGTTCGGAGGAGGACATAAGATAGTGCAATTGGTTTGACCCTGGATCATTTGAAAGTCACGTAAAGGTCACCTTCAATTTCTTAAATGGAAACTTCCATTTTTCAATGCATATTCTTGAGCTTACCTCGAGAGCTTTCCAAAACTTAATAAAATATTTTTCCGTATCTTCCATATTTTTCGAGATATTTGCCTGGTTCGATTAAAATGACTCACTCTGTGTGTGTCTGTGTGTGTGTGTGTATGTGTGTGTAACATTATTTCTAACGAATTATATAACACTATTCTTTCTAATAATTTAGATAATGCATGCTTAAGAAAGCATATAAAATATATTCTTACATTTGCATAAAAATCATCATGTTCTGCACTTAGAACAACTTCTTTTAATTCTTTTGAGATGCCTTTTACATGAGATAAATTAACACGATTATTATTGATTGTCAATAACTCGTGTACCATTGCTTGATATGTCCACTGGTTTAATAAAGGTGTAACAGGATCATCTCTTCTATCAATTATTAGAAGAATAGGATTAGATTCTTGTCTGAATTCAAAAGAATTAGATTCTTTACTAAGCACTTCCCTTATTTTTTCTGCTAATCTCTTAGCCATGTCGGAGCTATTTTGGTATCTAATATATGGACACTTTTTTAATGACAGTAAAACAGAAGTTATTCCTTGAACAGCTCTTTGTAAATGTACTGGATTCCATGTTAGTCCTAGAAATCATGACATAAATAGTATACATTATCAATAAATAGTTTAGTTAAATAGGAACTTATTAAAACATGCATAACTTTAAATAATATATTTTATTGTAAAATTCAATTACCTTCTGAGCATGCATTTATACCGAGTGAAAATAAATGTGGACTAATTGCTAGATAATCCGCATAATATTCATGTACTTCTCTAACTACTTCCTGTTCATCACTCTCTGCCAAAAGTTTTATATCTGCTTTTGCAATAATGTTACTGAAATCTAACAAAAATAAGTATTATTAACAATATATTTCTCTCAGAGTGTTCAATAATAGACATCTTTAGCAATATTTATTCTTCAAAACAAAAATTAAATAACATGATGACAGTGCTATGATATCAAATACATAAAAGATTAGAATATATTATAATGAAATGACATATGATCATTAACAGCTTATTTGGGATTTCCACGTTAATCAAGCTTTTGAATCAGGTATTTGAGAGAAACTAAAATTATAAAAAACATAATACTTTTTTATGTAACGCAGCATATTATATTCCTATCTTCCTAAAAATAACTATCTAAAATTGTGAAGATTAATATAATATAAAGTTGTTTCTTAAAAATGTACTTTTCTTTTAATTAATAAAACGTTTAATAAATTTTCCATTTTTGTTTTTTATATAATTTACAAATAAACTTACGATTGTAAACAGTTAAATTTAGCGCAAGCAATCTTGATATACTAACATTTTGCAAACGAAAACAGCGATTATCTTCTTGATAAATTCAGTTGTGAATTCAATTCTAAGTGGAAACGCGATTGTTGTTATCAGAAAACGTGACCCAATAAGAGTAAGTAAAGGTGAAAAAGAGAAAGAGTGGGGGAGAGGAGAGAAAGGGGAAAGAGAGGGAAGAAAGGGAAAAGGGAGAGGAAGAGAGAGAGAAGGAGGGAGAGAGGGAGGAGAAAGAGGGCAGAGAGAGAAAAAAATTCCATAATTCTACTATTCACAAACGTAATATTTGTTTCAAAAATCAGAATCGTTAAAAATAATTCAGTACTTTTAATGTGAAAAAGAACGCGCGTGTTTATTACTTAATATAATATTAATTATATAGAAGACATTATTCAAATTTTTTTTTACAAAACATATTTTGCTAATAATTTGATATAAACAACAGGGATACAACTTTACGTCTTAAAGAATAGCAACTTTTGACTTTGAGAGACTTACAGCTGTACCATTCAGTACAGTAACAATGTTTCTCTCTGTAGTCGCCATGCGCTCGGGATCGCGCCAGAGATGTCGCTTCTGAACGGCATCTCTGGGCGTTATCTAGAGAGAAGAGAGTGTCGTGAGCGTGGAAAGTTAGGTAGCTCAGTGGTATAGAGCAGTCGTCCAGCAAGCAAAAGACCCAGGTTCGAGTCTCGGCCTAGCAAACCGCGCTTTCGATATTTTTCTCTCTCTAGAACAAAAAGATACGCAGATCTCGAATGCACGGCGTCCTGCCTCCATCTAGTACACTCTCCTCCTTCTATGATATTACATGTATATGTGTATGTGATATGTTAAAAATAATACACATTTACAATACAAAAATACTTAAAGGATCATTTCACTATAACGAGCTCAAAAAATAGAATTTTTTTGCATTTTTTAACAGCAAATATATCTAAGAATGCGTAGAAAAAATTTCAGAGCTTGATTACGCTTAATTTGCCTACTACAAACGAGTTTGTATAGCGGCGCGTGGCAGCTAGCGCTCCGTCTCGCCGCCCAGACGTACCGAGCGTTCGACTGGCTTGTACGTGTCTGAACAGACCAACCCCTTTCGAACGTATATACTAACACTAAGAAAGTACAAAACTGAAAATTTAGTATGTTTTCGCATTTCGTTGAAGTAACAGCTCAAAGATAGACAAAAAATAATCGAAGTGTAATTCAAGGTGCAATCCTTCTAAAAAACGAAAATTTCATGGAAATCGTTATTCAATTGAAGAGATACGAAATGCTATATAGGCCATATACTATCATAAAATCTGTACAGACGATAATGCTCAACATTTGCATTGTCCAGAAGGAGTGGACTCTTGGTGCGACTGGCGAAAAAATGAAGTTGCAGGAACTTTAACTATAAACATCCGCCCGCATTGAGTGATGAAGTTGCAGACATTCTGAAGTCTATTTACGGAGAACTTCTGAAAATTTGCTAGAAAGATGTAAGGGCAACGAAACTCAAAATAATAACGAGAGCTTCAACTCGTGCGTTTGGCATCTCACCCAAAAAAAAAAATAATTTTAATAGAAGTGGAATTCTCTAAATCTTAGAGGATTTAATTCTTATATATAGCCTCAAGAGAATTGCTTTGAAATCAAGAGAAAAATAATCTTAAACAGAATTTTTAAAGATAGAAGAATTTCATTGTACAATGCAAATCTATTTGTTCTTAATCTAAATTTTCTCTTATATATTACATCAACTCAAAAATATTTCTTCGGATTTAATAAATTTTATCGCATCCACACGAAAGAAAGATCAGAAAACTTTGACCGAGGGTGCTTGTGTGTATCTGTAGATGTCCACTATTAATGCCATATGAGATGAAAAACATTAGACTCGAATCGAAACCAGGTTCATCAAATCCCCAGGTTCATTTCTCCGGAAGAAAATTGTCCTTCTAAGGACGGAAAACCTAACAACACGGGGGAAATAAACCGGGGGGGGG